TCTATGTTTTAGAAAGATTGCTTCAGCTGCAGTCTTTAGAGAGGTTGTTGTGGACTGAATGTTTGTATCCTTGCAACACTCATCTGTTGGGACCCTAACCACCAACGTGGTACGGGGAGGTGGGGCTTTTAGGAGGTAATTCAGTCATGAGGGTGGAGCTTTCATGAATGGGATGAGTGTCCTTAACTGGGTCTGAACAGACCACAGTTTTCCCTTTAATCACGTGAAGGTATTACAGTAAGATAGCCCTTTGCACCCCAGAAGAGGGCCCTTACCAGGAGCCAAACATACTGCTAACTTGATCTAACTTGATCTGAGAATTCCAGCCTCTAAAACTGTGAGAAATAAATTCCTTTTGTTTATAAGCTACCCAATCTATGGTAGTTTGTTATAGGTACCTGAACTAAGACATGGAGGTTAGAAGGGGAAAAATTAGAGGAAAGTAATTAGGAAGCTGTGTGGGAATCCAGGTGGGTATACAGAAAACACAGCGAAAGCCGGAGCAAGAGGAGGGAACAGGCAGGCATTTGTTTATGCAGCGTTGGCCTTTATGTCCATGAAGTCATTCCAGTTACCTACTGTGAAATGCTGGGACACACCTAAGTCTATACATAGATTCTGTCTGTACACATACATGTTTTTCTCTTGTGGCCTTACAAGCCTGCCTACTGTATTTGCCTCAAAATACTTGAAAAGAAAGTCACTCTGACAATAATTGCTCCTCAAGGGAGTCTACAAGAAACTCAGAAATGCAACTCCACCAAAGTCAGGTCCAGTTCTAGAAAGATCTGGGTTTCCAGTAACTAACTTGAGTTTGAATCAACACTCTTCTGCTTATAACTATTAAGACCTTGATCAAGTATCCTCACTGTTCTGAGCTTATCTATTCATTAGTGAAACTGACTAATAATACTGACCACATGGACATACTGTAAAAATCAGATGGAATCCTGAATCTTTATTATAAAGGTCTAAAAGGGTTTGGCACATAACAGATACACCCCATAGGCTGAAGAGGTGCTACAATAAATTCTAATTAACAGTCTTTTTTCTATCCAACTTTCTTATTAGCTGATAAGTAACTGGAGGATAAGAATCAAGTGACTATATTCTTGCTTGACGCAGAGGAACCACTCAGGAAACCTCTGTAACATGATGGAAAGAGTGAGTGAACAAAGGGGTGAAAGCTCTACCTCCATAACCTGTACAGCACTGTATATACTGTGCTTATAAATTTAAATTCTGGGTTTCAAATAATTAAAAGGTAACACCCCAGCAGTTCTCCCAGAAAACCAATGGTACCATGGGGGCAGCTTAGGAATTGATCTTAGCTTCCCTTACCCTACACCCCCCTCAATAAAAATGACTTCAATAAGAGAGAGAGCACCTGGAGAAAGGACAGCTAAAGTCCTGTTGGATGCAGTGAGTGTAAGAGGTATTCACAGGAAAATTTTGGACAAAAAGCACTGGTTTTTGCACAACTATTCTGGAGAGAGTACTGACAAGCACAAGAAGGTCCTTGATGGGTGCTTGATTGATGCAGCTGCAATCAACCATTTATGGGATGGGGGTATGTGCCCATCTAAGAGCAAGTAAATATCAATGGCCCAAGCTTAAAGTGAGTGAAAAAATTGCATCCAAATCTCAGTCAGATAAAACTGCAAGGGCTCTAGAGCCAGAAAAGATCCTATCCTAGTTTTTCTTCATCCTGAAACTAATCGGACGGGAAATTTTTTTCTTAAGGACCAATATATTCACATACCTGAAATGAAGTTGATATTGCTTTGTTATGGAAGATCTGCATTTTATTGTAAAAATGAGATAAAATATGTTTTTTTCAAATATAGAGTTTAGGTAACTGTTTTTTTTTTTCTCTTTCCCCTCCTTTCTTCCCCTCTCCTTTGCCTTTCTCTTCTCAGCTGCTTTCGGTATTGTATCTATGACTGTATTTAGACTACACTGTGGACAACATAATACCAGAGCAGACACTTTCAGACATGGCTTATCACAGAAAATGTGCATTTCCCACAAAGAACAAAAAGATGGGACTTCCTTTTACCATGCCCTACAAGACAACAAGATATTGTAACCAGAAATCAGAATTTACAGGAGAATAAATGAGAGTAAGCAAATGGAAAGGAAAGGTGAATGGTGAAAAGGCCATCTGATGGTGCTCTGGGTATCTCCCTGGGCAGCACTTGTTACCCTGGGTTTCAATTCCTCCCCTGTAAAACATGGCCCAAAACTATAACCATCTCACAGGGGTGCTGAGAGGACTAAATGAGATAGCATATAAAAAGCTCTTGAAATGAGACAGGGAAGTAAGTCTTTAAAATAAATATTAGGCATTGTGATTATTATGCATGTCATTCAAGGACTAACAAGATTATGTATATAAACCCTCTCAACAGCAACACACACTCAATAAGATATGATTTTTATTATTACTACTAATGCTATCATTATTGTTATTCTTATTTTATCTCTTTATTTTAGAGGTAGTTTCTGTCTCTTTGCTTGGTTTCTCTGGATTGCTGCTTTATTGGACAGTTTGTTTTGTTCTTGATTCAGATTTTACCCCATTATGTCAGTTTTTGGATTTCCCAAGCTTTCATTCTCTGTGACCAATGGGTCAATCATGTTCTATCACTATATCCAATGAAACTATATACCTAGAATTCCCCAAAGTAGAACTCAAAATGCAATGACTAGTTGATACTGCAAAATCAACTAACTAGATGAAGGCCAAAAATTCCCACGACTCCTGTCAGAAAATATAGTAGGCTATTATGAAGATTTTATTAATGGCAAAAAAGAGGTCACATTTTTTATTTAAATTCAGTCTTATGAAACTGCATAACCAATCCACGAAGACACATCATAATGTTTGGGCAAAGGATGCTTATATCCATAGCAACAGAGCAAACTGAACTAAATTCTGGGAACGGCATTTCCAGACTGACACAGATGTTCAATTTGCATACTAAGTCTCTGAAAACCTGTTGATGGACAGCTTCATGGACAATGCCTCCTGTACAAAGAGTTGGTTTACTGGGTCATTAGCCTTGTTAAAAAAGCCCCTGGGTTGTGTCATTTATGAATTCTGGGCCTGTTAAGGGTGATTATGCCATGACTCGGGACTGAAAGGTCTGTATTTCAATAATGAGTTTTCAAAGTATCACAGAAAGGAAATGGATATTTCAGTTAAAAGCTGTGTAAACACAGTTATGAGTAGGAGAATGTAAAGCTCCAGACCCCCTGCGCCTTAGCCATACAGCGATGTCTTCTTCTCAATTTTTCTGGCACTAGTTATTAAGACCAATCTGATGTTATTTGCTCCTTAAAACCAGGAACTGATGGTGGTCTAATTCGTTCAATTCGTCTCTGTAGACTGGCACAAGGGCAAGGACACAGAATCTAGCCATTCACCTATGCTTCCACTGACCTTGAAAGAGAATTTGAGGGAGCAAGTCTAAAACAGCAATACACTAAGAAATGGAAACTAATGGTTATCTGCATACACATCCAGCTTTGGATCACTTTTAATCTGGCTGAACATTTAGAAGAGGTGGTAGGGTAATCAGACCATGAACAGATGATTTCAATGTAACACAGTAAATACGAGGTTAGACGATTGAGCCTAGGTCTCATTTTGCCTTGCCTTCCACATCTAATCCCTTTAAGGCCTGCTGATCCCTTGACCTCAATCCTCAGTCATTATTGCCACACATTTAAGCCTCCATGCCCTTTTGTCTGAAGACTAACCTACTAAACTAGTCTCCCTGCCTCTAGCCATGCACCCTCAGGCTACCTTCCTCACTGCAGCCAGCCAGAGTTTCTACAACTCAGGTCTGAATATGCCCAGCCACTCTTCCAACCTTTCACTGGGCTCCCCTGGTCTACAAGATAAAGTTCAATTCCTCATCATGTTTTACAGGGATTCCTTATGATGCAGTTCCTGCCCGGCTCTCTAACTTTTAGTGCACATCATCCTTCTAGGAACAGTTTATGCCACAGCTGAAATTCTGGACTATTTTCAACTACCTCAAATATGCTTTGTTGTTTTTCATACCTGTGTCTTTGTTCCTGCCCCAGTTCTGCCTAGAAGGGTGACTCTACCCTTGTTTGCCTAGTTTGTCCTAGGCAAAAAGATCTTAAGAGATATTTATTTTTTAACACTCAACATAAATGCCTTTCCCCTGCAAAGTATTTCTTGACCTCGCTTGGTGCCGGCTCTGTGCCTTGTATGTCTTGCATATTACTCATCTCACTTTGGTGGATCTTCCACCTTCCCTATTACACAACCCCATGAATTCAATGCATTTTTATCAAGCACGGTCTATGACCCAGGCACCAAGCTGGATACAAAGACAAGTATGATATGGCCCTTGCCTTTAAGGAGCTCATAGATTTCTGCAAAAAAATAGATCAAGAAAGCATACAGATAATAGAATGTGACAAGAAGTGGAGTAGTGTCTTTAAGAACAAGTAAAATGATCAAGGTGCCTGGGCAGGGAAAGCAGCAGATGCAAAGGCACGGAGGAGTGGGATAACACATAATGCCATGAGTAAGGTAATGGAGTCTCAGCGACAAGTGCGTGTGTGGGACTGGGGAGGACAGAGTACAAAGGGTATGATGTGCTCAGAAAATTATCTGAATTAGGTCCCAAGAGGTATGAAGTATGATGGGAGCATCTGAGCTGGAACATAACGTGGTCCTTTTCACAAAGTAGAATATCATTCTGGTTACCATGAGGAAAATGCAATGTTGTCTGTTAGAGAGGAGATGGGTTAGTCATCATTGCTTGGACCAACACATTCCTTTGGCAAATGCAGGCTGCATAGGTACCATATATTAGGCCTTACACTAAGAGAAAGTTAATTCTGATTTAGGAGCCTGCAAAGTCTTCCAGTTACTGTGTATATGGGTAGTATGACAAAATGAGCTAGTCAAGGGTATAAAAGCATTAAAGACCAGACTGAGAAAAGTGTCAACTTACCAATTTTCCAGTAACACTTTGACCGCCTTCATTCAGCCAGAACCCAGGGACCATGGCTGAGAAATAAGGGCCCCAGACACCTGGTACAAAAATTGGGTCTTTGCTAATCTGGAAAGAGAGAAAAAGTATGTGAAAGTATTGACCCTCAGAGTAGAAGCAGCCTTATCCTCTTCTTTATGATGTTTGTATGACCATGGAGTTCAGCTTTTTATTAAATACTTTTTAAGGTGGGGAAGTGACTCCCTCCTAAGGAAGGACATGGCTTCATCTTGGGAAATTTTTCTGATAAATTCACTTAGATGTCAGGATAGCAAAAGAGATCATTTTAGAAAGTAACTGAGGAGACATTTCCCTGCTGGCTCCCTCTCTGTGTTAGACTGATTGCAATAATGGCCCCCATTTTCCACCCCTTACCTTTATCCACCCACTTTGCACCACAATTTTCTATCTCCTCTCATAGAGGTGAGATTCCCAGCCCTTAAATCTGGGTCCGCCTTGTGACTTGTTTTGGCCAACAGAAGGAGGTGGAAGGGACACTGCCAGTTTTCTAGGCCTAGACCTCAAGCCTCAAGAGGACCATTGCTTCTACTCTTCTACCTGTGCCATGAGAACATGCCCAGGCCAGCCCAGTGGAAAGAAAGATGTGCAGCAGAGCTGAGTTAGCCCAGCTGTCGTAGGTGATGTTTCACCTGCATGAGAGAGAGAGCCCACACAAGACAAGCAAATCATCCTAGTTGACCAGCTCACAAGCCCAGATCACCAGAACCACCCAGCCAACTGGCATACTTGTGAACAAAATATGTGTCTTGTTCTGTGTCGTTAAGATTTTATGTTTACTCCCTAGTACATTTGTGGTAACAAATAGCTGATACACTTCCTGGCTACCAAACAGCATCCATCTTCCCCTTTTGGGTGCTGGGGACACAGAGATTAATCAGAGTTTCTGTCTGCAAGAATTTCCCATCTAGACAGAAACTCTACGAGTAAACAGACAAGTAGTATCCAGTGTGGTCCCTGGATGGTAAAGACAAAACATAGGATGTTGTGTAGAGGCACAGGAGGTGAGTGAAACGGTCTACAAATAGCTTCATGAGATTGGGACATAAGCTTAGACTGGTAAGATTCAGCCAGACGAAGTGGAACATGCATTCTGAGCCAAAGGAGCAGCTTGAGCAAAGCCGTGTAAGTGAGAGAGAAATGCTCTGAGTATTCAGCATGCTACAACATTTTTTGTGTGTTTGTTTTGTGGTAGCAGACCATGGAAGCCCTTTTAGGAATTAGGAAAATATATTAGGAGATAAGCCAGGACAGGCAAGGATAGACCCTGTGTCCTCTCATCTGGAATGGCAACACATTTCTCATACATCCAACAGGAATGGATGCTGAAGTCATATTTATGGTTGTGGAAAAGTGAAGTTAGAAGGTAGGGAGGAAAAGGGAGTTAGATACATAAGGTCTACTCCTGCATATCTCAATGCTGGGTACAGAATTATCCATTCATTTACTCTACAAATATTTATTCAGCCCTTACTATGTACTTGGTGATAAGCCAGGTGCTGGGAATACAGAAATAAAGTGAATATCCATAATTTCTGCCCTCATGAAACTTAGCGTCTAGCATTTCAGCATAGGGACAAACTTTCTTTAAATTTCTTGACTCTATCTATTTCGGTTCCCTTCTCAGTAATGAGTCCTCAGATCAGTATGATTTCCAACTCCCATACAGGAAGGAGGTGAGGGAGGGCAAGCAAACTACACAATATTGCCAACATTAAATTTTGTAAAAGGAAGATAATTTACAGAAAAGGAACATTTAACACCTAAAATAGGAAAAATAATCCCAGAGAAAAAAAAGGAATTCTGCAAGAAAAGACAGTTCAACTTGTACTGACAAATCACACATCTCCTTATTGGTTTAACAAATGTTTCCAGAATTCCTATTATGATCCAAATCTGTGCCCGGCTCAGAGGACAAATGTTAAACAAAAGAGCACAGTCCCTGTCTTGGAGGAGCGGGCCCTCTCAAGAGGGATGGGGGTTAGGCTGAGCAATCATCTGGGTTTGGCCAGGATTTCTTCTAGTTTTAGCACTGAAAGTCCTGTGTCTTGGAGAGCCTTCTATCCTAGGCAAACTAGGACAATTAAGTACTCACCCTGAGATAGATATTATGCAAATCATGACATGAATGTGTAATTACAAACTGAAATA